TTATAATAGTTGTAAAAGTAATTTTACTAACAATAAATTTTTTTTATCTTCTTAAACAATTGATGGATGATTATAATTTTATTATTATACACTACCTACCCAAAAGTTTCAGTCGTCCTAAATTGATGAATTGCGCAAAAGTGTACATAATAACCACACAAAAAATTTATATTATTTTGATCCTAGGTATTCATAAAATTTTAGATTTCTAGCCTTTATACAGTTCGAATAATAATAAAAAAACGAATTCCGATTATTTTTGAAGTGAAAAAATTAGAATTTTGGAAATATAGTTTTATTATTAAAAATGGCTTAAATTTTCAACAGTAGCCTCTTATCAATTAGTAACTAGTAGGCCATCCATTGTCTGCAATGCATTTTGCAATTCTACGAGGCATGCTTTCAATTAATTTTAAGTAAACGTTATTTGGAATTTTATTCCATTCTTCAATTATAGTGGTCTCTAATTCATTGAAATTTCTTGCTGGTTTAGGTTTTTTTCGAATACAAGTCTCTAATTCACTCCACAAGTGTTCAATCGGATTTAGGTCTGGAGACTGGCTTGGCCAACTTTCTAAGATTTTTATTTCGTTTGTTTTTAGCCATTCTTTAACTTTTTTAGCAGTATAGACTGGTGCGTTATCATCTTGGAACAGATAACTTTGATTATTAAAACTATATATTGTTTATTAATGGCAACAAATAAGATTGGAGTAATCATGTTGATTCATTTTCCCATCAACTTTTACAAGTGGACCCAATCCTTTTCCAGAAAAGCAGCCCCAAAACATTACACTACCACCTCCATGTTTGACTGTAGGTCTTAGATTCTCAATATCAAACCTTGTTCCGAGTGTCCTCCAAACATGACCTGGGCCATCATTTCTAAACAAGCTGAACCTGCTTTCATCACTCCATATTACATTTTTCCATTTTTTTACACTCCAATCTTTTCTTCTTAAGCACCAACCCATACACTTTTGTCTGTGTCCCTCATTAATAAAAGGTTTACATGCTGGAACACAAGAAAAAATACCAATATCACGCAGGCTTCTTCTAAGCATGTTGATTGGAACTTGCAGACCAGTTTTCTGATTAAATTCTTTTTTTATTATTTCAGCTGATTCAGTGTTGTTTTGTTTGACAATTGCTTTCAATACTTTTTGATGGTCATTATTTAATATTTTTTGGTCGACTGCTTCAAGTTGAGTCTTTGACACTACCTCTTATTTCATAATTCTTTATAATTCGAGTAACTGTTGTTCTAGAAAATCCAATAATTTTGCTAATTTTCACTTTTGAATTGCCGCCTATATGGAGACCAATTAGACATTTTACGAAATTTAAATTTTATCAAATCTTTAAAAAAAATTATTAAAAAAAAAAAAACTACCCAAAATAATGTAAAAAAATTTTTTCTTGAGAATTAGATGAAATTAGACCTAAAAACTTCATAATATGTTAATATGTAGGTTTTTTAAAATTCTTCATGTCAAATTTTTTTCTTTACAAAAATGATCGGAATTTGTTTTTTTATTATTATTTGAACTGTATGAAGGCTAGAAATCTAAAATTTTATATTTAAGTACATGAATACCTAGGATCAAAATAATATAAATTTTTTGTGCAATTATTATGTACGCTTTTGCGCAATTCATCAATTTAGGGTGACCGAAACTTTTGGGTATTTTAATTTATCTTTTATCTTTGATTTAACGGATTTAATGGATTTAACAGGTTTAACGAATTTTTCATATTAATATTAATATGTTTCTCGGCTGGTTTTTGCTAGAGGATTCCTCAAATATATATATAATAATAATAAAAATACAAATATTATTAAAACAAAAAGAGACGACATACTAATACGATTGGCAGCGTTTTGATAAATGCATTTTATAAAATTTTGCTCATAGGTTGACACACAGTTTCACTAGTTTAGGAGCCTAAATTCCCAACGAAATTTAATTTCGGCCACCATTAATTGATACATACGTACTCAAATGTTTGTTCTAAAAACGTAAGGGTGTTACAGTTTCAAAATTTTTTTCGTCCTTTTTAAAAGGAACAATTTTTCGAAGATGCAATACCAAAAGTTTAACACTGTTTACAATGAATTATTATCATTTATCAGTTTTTCAAAAAGGATGAGGAATAAAAAAAGAAACAAATTTTCATGTTTCTTATTATTAATGTTGTTATTAATAAATACAGGTAATTATAATTGGAAAATAATTATATATATATATATATATATATATATACGTGGAATTTATTTACTTTATTTCTTTTGAATTCAAATAAATCAAATCAATATAAAAGTAAAATCACAGTCATCAACGACCCAATTATTACCAACTAATGTTACCTCTGTTATTGATTATACTCCTACTACCTCTGCTGGTGCTAATCCTTTTAATGTCTTTTCAAATTCTGATAGTTCTAAAACTAAGATTGCGGTGCCAACTGGTTTTTCATTGTTTTTGTTTGGAATAGCGCTTTATTGTTGGAGAAGAAAGGCCAAGAAAAGAAAGGAATTACTCGGAAACAGTCAAGCAGCTAGTGGAACTAACGATCAAGAAATTCAAGTTAATAGTGAAACTGATAAAAATCAACTTCAAAATATTGACAATATTCAAGATACTGATGAAAAAATTCAAATTGATAGCGAAACTGATAAAAATCAACTTCAAAATATTGACAATATTCAAGATACTGATGAAAAAATTCAAATTGATAGCGAAACTGATAAAAATCAACTTCAAAATATTGACAATATTCAAGATAGTGATGAAAAAATTCAAATTGATAAGCGAAACTGATAAAAATCAACTTCGAAATATTGACAATATTCAAGATAGTGATGAAAAAATTCAAGTTGATAGCGAAACTGATAAAAATCAAGTTGTGAGTAATAATGATGATGATACTGCCGATAATAATAATAAATCTAAAGGATAAAACCGCTTAACATCATCATCAACAAAAAAAAACACAATAACAGTGAAAATATGAATTTTAAATAATTTATTATTGTTATATATTATGGCGTGATATTAAACTAGAAGTTATATTAACTA